TAAACTTTTGCTTTTTATTTATGGAGGCTATGCTCTTAGTTACATATGAATACAAATATTCAGATCCTTCTAATGAAATTAATTTTTGGCTAGTATATGATTTTATTTTTTTTCCCCTACTTTTATCAGTAAATTTTTGTTGCTCTTGAAGTCTTTCTTGGGTAATTTCTTCAGTTAATTATTAACAGCAAGCTTTTTTTCCTCCTAGTCTTCAATTTGAATGCTTTTGTGCCTTTATTTTGTGTTTGTTGTTTTTTGAGACAGGGTCTCACTATGGAGCCCCAGGTGGCCTGAAACTCTCTATGTAGACCAGGCTGGCCTCAAACTCACAGAGATCCACTTGCCTGAGTACCAGGATTAAGTTGGTACCAGGATTAAAGGCATATGCTTTTCTGCTTGAACATTTTTAACATTTATTCAAATGAGCCACATATTTCAGGTTTTAGTAAGACTGTCATTACCTCTCACATCTAAGCAAGTTGTTATTTCAGATTGCATCCTTCACGTAATCTAAGAGTCATATGTTAATGTTTAAAAACTGTAATTTTTTTCCAATTCACCTTTTGTGCAAATCTAATTGCCCTGAGTTACTATAAGAAAATACTGACTGCTTTTACAAATCTTCCTGTGGAAGACACCTCTGATCTCACCTTTACTCAAAATGAATTTACTCAGGAAAGTCCATACAGTGACTTTCTGGAGTCAATTTTCTAATTCAACGTATTTCATTGAGTATTCGCTCATGGTATATTCTAGTAATTTTCATCCCAGAATCAATTACCATAGACTTGACATGGGATAAACTGTGACAGCAAACTTAATTTTTTTAAAAAATGCACAGGGTTAAAAAGCATACGAGCATTCCGAAAACAGAAACTAAGGAGATAATGAAAAGGAGAGACCAATATTTCCTGATAGTTTCTACTTGCTAGTGACTATTCCAAAGGTCTTTTTACTGAATTCAGTGAGTCCTCACAATAGCCTTACTAACGGTTAAAAACCAGCAATCCAGAGCAGAGGGGTGAAATGATTTGGTAATAAAACGCAGGTGGTAAAAGATGCCTATTATAGGTAAAAGCTCTTCTACACCGAGAAAGTCCACGGTTGTCCTGTATGCTACTATCTAGAGTTATAATCAAAGCTTACTCTTTTTACTGGTAATAGAATTAGCATTTCTAGTCATAATTTAAAGTTTTTCCTGTATAAGTTTGATACTCAGTAAACTGTGGGTTATGAAGCAAAAGAAATTTATAGTCATCCAATATTCTTACAAATGGCTATTCCATAAGGGACAGCTGGGGGAGGGGGTATCAAGGGTTTCCTGTTCTAATCTTATCATAAATTACATAATGTTAAGTACAGTGTGAGCGCAGGCCATCACACACACCTCATTTTTATAAGGCTTCTCCCTAGCACAGGTTCTGTTGTTTAAAAGGAGAGCTGAGGGACACATAGGTTTCCCTTTGCTGACACTATGAACATTTTTCTTCTATGTGCTTTTGAAAGTGTTGGATAAGGATTCCTAAATAAACAAAGGACAACCTTCAAATGCACAGAATTTCGCCCACTGTATGTATTCTCTGGTGCTTTTTCACCTGTAAGAGCCGAGTGAAGGCCTGTCCACACTCCTTACATTCATAGGGCTTCTCGCTAGTATGAATTCTTTGATGTTGCGTGAGATGGGACCTCTGCCTAAACGCCTTACTACACTGCTGGCGTCACATCTCTTTTATAACCGTGCTTTCCCTAATGCTTTGGACTTCCCCAAGATTTGGGGTTTCTTTACCTTTATCTCTGAAGTTCCCTTCCCCTTCCTGCTATGTGATGGCTAGTCCACCAGGTGTGTGACCTCCATGGCGGCTTGACCAGCATGGATTTACAGTTTTTTCCTTTTCCCTTCGTCATTCTCCTCAAGGCAGCTGCTGAGATTTAAGCTTGCCAGCACTGAGGACTTTTCCTTCAATTCTAATAAAATTGTCCTAAAGTTTAAAAAAGATAAAGATGTTTGGGTTGGGCATGACAGTGCACACCGTTAATCTCAGGAGACAGAGGCAAAAGCATGTGGATCTCTGTGAGTTGGAGGCCAGTCTGGCCTACAGAGTGACTTCCAGGCCAGTAAGGACTGCATAGTGAGACTCTGTCTCAAAAGTAAATAAATTAGGTGCTGGAGAAATGGTGCAGTGATTAAGAGCACTGACTGCTCTTAGAGAGAGTACCATAGTTCAGTTCCCAGCACCTACGTGGCACCTAACCTTCCCTAACTCCAGCTCCAGAGGATCCATTGCCCTCTCTGGCTCCTGAGAGCACACTCCTCACATGTGGTACACTTGCACACATGCAGGCGAGTATCATACACATAAAATAAAAATAATTAATAAATTATTTAAATAATTCATTCATAGCCTGGTGGTGGTGGCACACACCTTTAGTCCCAGCATTCGGGAGGCAGAAGCAGGTGGATCTCTGTGAGATCAAGGCTAGCCTGGTCTACATAGCAAGTGCTAGACCAGATGGGGCTACAGGGAGACTCAAAAAAGACCAAAAAATAAATAAATACGTATATAAATCATTCATTAACTTTGTTTTGACCTCTGCCTCTGAAGGGCACACCCAAAACCATGGAGCCCTTCTTTGCTGCTTGCTTCTGGCTGTCCCTGAAGGACTTGGAACCCAACCCTGACTGATCCTCAAAATCAAAGTTTTCCAAGACTGCTTGCAGCTCAGCTGGGCTGAGGGGCTCCTTTCCTGTGGCCTCAGGGGCTACAAAAAACCAGCCCTTCAAACAATGACCCCAGGATGAGACCTCTCCACTCACCCAGGGAACCAGTGGCACAGCCCACATCCTCTTCTTTTTGGGGGATGGATTTGGGACTGACTTATTACACAGAATTCAGACTAGTGATCTTTCTACCAGGACAGGCTGACATTTCAACTACCTGTTCATTTTTCTACCATCATTAACACTGTTTTCTCTTCTCAGGAATACATAATTTACCACTTGCTTGCCTCTCTGCAAATCAGATCTAAGTGTGATTTTTTTTTTTTACCTAGATTGCATTCTTGTACTATCTAACCTAACGATGAAGGCGTGTATCCGTTTTTTTAATGCAGGGCATGGAATTATTTGACGTGCTTGCTATCTGTTAAGAAAAGCCAGGGCAGTCCCTGGATTATTAGATTTGCCTCTGAAACTGAGCAAACATGTATACAGCCAAATTCATTCCTGTAGACCACAGCATGGGAATGAGGTTGGCCTCAGCCCTGTGGTTCACACCACAGAGGAACAAACACACCAGGCCTCCCCACAGAGCTCCTGAGGAGAAGGCTGAGTCACAAATGCACTGATAACTTGCATTGAAACCTACAATTCCATGGCAAAACAAAACAAAACAAACAAACAAAAAAAAAACTTTAGACATCATGTAACCTTGATCTGACAGACAGGGAAACCCAAGGCCAACAGATGAGCAGATTTCCCAGAAGGCACCTGGAAAAGAACCAGTCTCTGTGCATTTCTGCTGAAATGCAGGGCCATATTGGAGACTGATCCACCTGGATGCAGCAACTGACCGGGTAGCATCAGAGCAGTTAGTGGGACATTACCTTTGAGGCCGGGGACAAGAATCTGCACGGAGCAGGCGTCGTCCACAGTCTGCTGAGCACATCCAGAAGGCAGCAGTGACAGGAAGACCAGGCTGATCAGTGTGCCTGCAAGAGCCAAGTCCCTCATCATCGTGAGTGCAGGCTGGACACCGACTCCTGAAGGAAGAGACTTAAACAGTGACAGGAGTCTGACACAGAGCAGTGTGAAAAGCAGGCCACTCCTGTACCCTCCTCTCTGGGTTCTGATGCCTCTCTCACTATCTTGCTCACATGCCAATCACCAACTTCTACTGAGGGTTTCTGAGGCCCCTGTGTGTGCCCAGGCCTTTTTCCCTAAGCCTCTGCTGAAAGGTCACTTGTGCTGCCCAATCTTGAAGGATAAGTCACTGAGCACAGGCCTGCCCAGGAGGCTCAACTGGTCCTTAGGGCAAGGACTCTGGCACAGCAAGGACAGAGACCCTACACAAAGGGACCAAAGACATGGCTCTCCTACAGAGCTTGGGAGGTGTCTGGGAGGGGACAGCCCAGTACCAACAGAGCTCCACGTTCAACAGCTTGATTCACAGATGAGGAATCACAAACGAGACTGTCTCCCATAGGCTCCAAGTGTTTGAACATTTGTTCCCCATTTGGAGGTGCTGTTTTGGGAGGTCTTAGAAGGTGTGGTCTTGCTGGAGGACAATGTCACTGGGGGTAGGCTTAGAGACTCCTTAAGCCTTCCCAGATTTTGAGTGGATTTCAAGTCACTCTCTGCTTCCTGTGCCTGCTTGAAGATGTGAGCGCTTAGCTTCTGCTCCGACTCCAGCCACCTTTGCCGCCATGCCTCCATGCCATGATGGATTCTTGCCCCTTTGGAACTGTAAGCTAAATAAACTCTTCCTTTTATAAGCTCCGTTGGTCATGGTGTTTTATCACAGCAACAGAAAAGTAACTAATACAATCATTCATTCCTGAAGGCTTCTGATACTGCCTGGCACCAGTCCCCTGGATCAGTCAGCCATTCAGCAACATGTCTGGGTATCAATCCTCTGCCAGGTGCAGCTACAGGTGCTAGAGTGGATCAAGAATTTGAGTTCCATTTCAGTCAAAAAAAAAAAAAGAAAGAAAGAAAAGATACAGACAGATAGGCAGATGAAAACAGAGGTAGCAGAGAAGAGCAATTGTCCCCAGGGAAAAGAGGCAAGGCAAGGTAGTCAGCCTGAGGGAGCTGAGGAAAGAGCCCAACTCTGGCATAGTAGCTTTGGGGTCCCTTCAAACAAGTCAGAGGCTTTGGATCAAGGCATGGCTGTATAAAAGGGCCCCCTGGCTCTTCTTTAGAGACTGGACTTACTGGAATAAGAATTAATGCAAGGGGGCTGGATCAATGGCTCAGCAGTTAAGAGCATTGGCTGCTCTTTCAGAGGATCTAGGTTCGAATCCCAGCACCCACATGGCAGCTAACAACTGTCTGTAACTCCAGTTCCAGGGGATCTGATACCCTCTTCTGACTTCCATAGGCATTGCATGACACAGACACACACACAGACACACACACACACACACACACACACACATATACAGACAATGCATTCATACACATAAAATAAAAATAATAAATACAATATTTTTTAAAAGAATTAAAGCAAGGAGGGGAGGTCAGAGAAAGGACACTACAGTGTTCTGTGGCAAGGAGTGATGGAGACATCACAGCACAGATGGAGATAAAGAAAGAGGTCGGGTGATTAGCATTTTGGAGGCAATGCTGATGGCTTGATTTTCGCTGATGGATTCTATGGGAAATGAAAGTGAAGGGCCAGAAGAAGGTCCTCAAGAAGAATGCTGGAGCTACTGGATAGAGAACAGGCAGAGGGGGTAGTCAGGATTGGGTTTGACTTTCCAATCTGAGGAGCCTGTGAGGCTCCCATGGAATGGCTAGCAGATAGCAAGACCTGGGCACATGCTTAGCTTAAGCAATGGCTTAGCTTAGCCAGCTCAAAGATCAAGATGTCCTGCATAGCCCCATGACTCCAGTGAGCTAGCCATGAGAGGCAAGGGACCCACATGCACAGCCAATGAGATCATCCCTGTACATCTCCTCACACAGAAACCCAGAGAGTAGGGGCACAGACCAAGTCTCAGGAGACACCTCCCATAGCTGGCTGTGCTGACACCCACCTTGATAAATCCAAATCCCTGCTACACTTGGCTTCCAGGGGTTCTCCCTAAAATGTGTGAAGGAGTCAAGGTACCCATGGCCACACTGCCACTGTCATGTCAGATAACAGAAAGCTACACCTTGTGATCAAGAGCACCCGTCCTTTTGGCATGAAGGGACGCTACCTGAAACTCCCCTTTCAACTGTGAAAAACATTCTCACATGTGACAATATAAGGAACAGTTCTGTAAAGATTGCTTTTATATATTATTTATTATTTTTATTTTATGTGTATGAGTGTATTGCCTGCATGTGTATAAGTGCACCCATGCCGTGCAACACCCAAGAAGGTCAGAAGTAGGTGTTGGATTCCCCTAGAACTAGAGATAGGGATGGCTGTTGGCTGCCATGTGGGTGCTGGGAATGGAACTTTGGTCCTCTGCAAGAGCAGCCAGTACTCTTAACCATTGAGCCATCTCTTTGGCCCCTGGATTGCTTTTCTAAAACGTTTTCCCCTTCATTTTAATTTCATTAGTCTTTTAAATTTTTTTATTATTTTTATGTGTATGAGTTTTACCCGCATATATGTATGTATATCATATGTGTGCAGTGCCTGTGGAGGACAAAAGAGGGCATCAGATTCCCTAGAACTGGAGTTGCAGACATTTGTGAGCCACCATGTGGGTGTTGGGAACTGAACCCAGGTCTTCTGCAAGAGCAGCCAGTGCTCTTAACCACTGAGCTATTTCTCCAGATCCAAGATTGCTTCTTAATGTTCTTACCACCTAAATAGAAGGTGAGGTTTAAGGGCTGAGGTGGAAGAATAAAGGGAGGGGAGTCAAGATTAAAGAGTGTAGTAGCATCTAAGGTATAAACTGAACAACTGCACTCATTGGCCTTGACCTTGAAACCTTGCTGAAAACCTAGACCCATGAAATGGAAAGCCACCTCCCATCCTTCAGAGGGCTCGTGGGAGGAATACACCCTACAGCTCAAACCACAAAGAAAAGCACAGATCCCAGCCGCAGAGAAAGACTCTCTTGGCCTGGATACTGGTCTGTCCTCGGGAGGTTGGGGTTTGTGGCCCAGCTCCCACTCTCCACCCTTCCTCACTCAAGGTCACTGGGCTCTGAGCTGCTGGTCATCAGCCTCTGTGTTTGCACACATGCTTTCAGGGTGCTGGGAAATGGAGAATTGTGGCAGCCAGAGGTTAAGTGAGATATCTACTCCAGCAATGTTCAAATGTTCCAAACTTGTGAGGAACCACCACAGAAAATTTCATAAAGTGCAGAGGAGCTTAGGGAAAACACGCAGGAAAATGGCTGCTGTGCTGGATAGCTTTAGTGTCAACTTGACACACCTGGGTTGAGGGAGCCTCAATTGGGGACTTGCCTCTATTGGACTGGCCTGTGGCCATGTCTGAGGGATATCTTCTTGATGAGTGATGTGGGAGGGCCCAGCCCACTGTGGGTGGTGCCACCTCTGGGCAGATGGGCCTGTGTTGCATAAGAAAGCAGGCTGAGCAGGGGCCAGAGGAGCAAGCCAGTAAGCAGTGTTCCTCCATGGCCTGTGCTCCAGCTCTTGCCTCCAGGTTCCTGCCCTGAGTTCCTACCTTGGGCTCCCGGATGAACTGTGACCTGGGATATGTAAGCTAAATAAACCCTTTCCTCCCCAAGTTAGTAGTAGTCAGAGAATTTTGTCACAGCAATGAAGAAAGAAACCAGAACAGCTGGGAAAACACAGTGGCCCTACTGAGGTTCTGCTTCTGTCAAAAAAAAAAAAAAAAAAAAAGAAAAAGAAAAACACACACACTCGTGTATGTACCTAGACCTGCAGCTCTATATGCATTCTACAAATAGCTACAGACACATACACATCACTCCTGGGAACCTGTGTGTATGTGTGTGTATGCTGTGCATGTGTGCGTTACCACAGGCACACGCTGGAAACGTCAACACTGCGAAATGCTGGTCATTTCTTCACTCATCACTGGCTGCACTTGTTCCCCTCACTTGACCTTGATTCAGCAGACAGTTTGATAATATCTCTGACCTACAGGTACTCATCTAGGCATCAGCAGCTGACGTGCCTCAGACGGAACCCTTCTTACGCATTATTTCTAGTTCCTTCTGAGTCTCATCTAAGTACTGTACCTATCTTCAGCAAGAATGCAAAAGAAAATATTTTCAATATGTATACCTGGAGCAGAGTTTAGTAATTATCAGTATGATGCCATTGATGTACAAATCAACTGTGATTGTATGCTGGCCTGTATGCTTCGTAAATGGCACTTGTGGACCAATACGTGTAGCCTTTGGGTGTTTCTATGGCTTTGGGAGATTTTTGTTGTTGCTGGAGGGGGGTTGTTTTTTGTTTTAGTCTTTTTGAGTCAGGGTTTCCCTGTAGCCCCAAGTGGCCTGGAACTCACTTTGTAGACCAGGCTGGCCTCGAATTCAAAGAGATCTGCCTGCCTCTGCCTCTGCCTCTGCCTCGGCCTCTGCCTCTGCCTCTACCTCCTGAGCGCTTGGATTAAAGGCGTGCACCACCATGCCCGGCTTTCTCTGGCTTTTTAAGTCATCTCTACATGCTTATTTTCATCCCATAAGCAGAAGGCTCCTACAGAAAGATTTCTACAATGTTTTTGTTATTCCAGTGAATCTTGAATATAAACTCTGGATGTATTTAAAACTATTTCTGGATGGTCACTATCTCCCAGCCAAATTTGACGGTACCAAGTAAGAAGTAAAATTACTGGTCTCTTTTTATTAGTTTGCCCTGAGGGGTGGGAAAAATCCTTCTTTTAAAATTTCCACTTTTTATTGGATTTTTGTATTTTAAATTTCGAGTATTTTTCTACATCAAACCTAGCAAAAACAGTGATGATGGTTTGTGATTTTTATTAAGCACTAGACAGTTTTAAACAAGTTGATAAAGAAATTGATGGTAACAGTCTTGCAAGCCATGCACAGCCCTTCTGTGGAGTTCTGTTTCTGGAATGACTTTCCTGGAATTACGGTGTAGAAACTATGCAAATGGTCTGTATGCCTCTCAGCTCACAGGATTGTGCTGACCTTTAGCTCTTTTCCTGTACAATCCATACCAGGGGGAGAGGCTGAGGGTGAGGTAGGAACGGTTTAAATGTGGCACAAGATGGCCATATAGTCCCAAGACCAAGTAAGGCTCCCTCAGCTTGAAGCATGACCATCACAGACGCAGTCAGAAGTCTCTGCCACCTTCTTTCGTTTTTTTCTTTTTTAAGGAAGGCACGGTATCTAGGTAAAACTTTTCATCAGCTTTCTCTGTCTGCCGGTTTTCTCCCATAATCCTGGAAGTATAACTAGAATCATACTGCTGAAGCCTTCAGGTCAAACTGCCTCTCTAATCTCTGTCCCTCCTAGAGTACATCAGCCTCTGGATCAGTGCACACTCGTACTCCATTTGCTGATGGTCCTGCCTCACTCCCCCTCTCGTGTTCTGTGTCCCCACTGGAGCAATGGCAGAGAATCAAAGATGTCAGGTTCTTACTACATTCCAGCACCAGGTCTCCCATATCCTCTGTGTCCTCAGGATAAAGGTTGATGTTTACTCTCTGGGCACTGTTGGGAGATGGGCTTGGACACTGTGTTAGTGGGAAGGTTATCATTAACTGTGGTCACTGGAGAGCCTGGCTTCTCTTCCATAAACCTAACTCACAGGCATCTAGTCTCCTTGGGAGCTGGGTTCACAAGGAAACAGCCCACATATGGACCCTTAACATGTTTTTCTAACAACTGTAGAGATTGAGGGGACGTGTGGTGAATGAAAATACCTAGTTTGCTTGGCAATCTCTCGTGTAAATTACAGTAAAACAAAGTAAATGAAATTGAAACAAAAATAAATTTGATCACAAAATGCCAAAAAAAAAAAGCTGTGCATGGTGGCATACAACTTTAATCCCAGCACTCCAGAGGCAGAGGCAGATAGATCTCTAAGACTGAGGCGAGCCTGGTCTACACAATAAGTTCCAGGTCAGCTGGGGCTACAGGGAAACACTGTCTCAAACAAAACAAAACAAAACAAAACAAAACAAAAACAAAAATCCCAAAGCAAACTGCAAAAAGATCCAAATTACCTATCAGAAAGGAGAGCTGAGGCGGCATATGTGACTGGAGGCAGGGACACGTGTTGCTGAGGAAAATCACCATAGATTGGAAGCAGCACTCTCCAATGAGCCTTTTTAATACTTTCTAATACTTGATGATAGAATCCATCAAATACACAGACTCCTGCGATGAGCCTCCGGGTACCCACTGCCCTGCTCCAGAGGGATGGATGCTTTGGAGATCATCCTTAGCCTCTCTTCCAATTCCCATTAGTAAGAGTTACTCTCTACATGAGCATATACAATAAATCATGAGAACTGTAATGCTAAGCTTGACACAACTGTGCGGGCTTGTGGGCCGCCACACCTGGATTATGGCTCTACTGTCATAGTCCTGAAATTCCCAACATTTAAGCAACAAGGGACCAAAAACCCGTGACCAGGCACGTTCTCCCACAGTGCTCTTAACTATACAGCACTCAGCTATCACTGAAGCAGCAAGTATTTGGTTCCTTCTGCAGTATAGCTACAAAACGGTACTAAGCCAGTCATGGTGGTACACATCTGTCATTCCAGAATTTGGAGAGGGAGACACATGAAGACTGTGAGTTCAAGGCCAGCCTGGCTCCAATAGTGGGTTCCAGGCCTGGCAGGTAGCCAGGGCTACATAGCAAGACCTTACTCAAAAAACCAAAAACAAAGGAAAAGAAAAGCAGTTACAACCCTTGCTGCACCCACTGTTCGCTGGATAAAAACTGAGTTTAGATGTTTCTGATTCTCTCAGCTACCCAAAGATGGTATGGGAATGTCCTCCCTATATGACTGTCAGAGACAGGCAGGTGTTCAGCAGGACGCTCATGGCTTTCACCCCGTGGAAGTCCTAAATGTGGCTTATAAAGCGTCCAGCATCCTCTCCAAGACAGGAGGCAAGGTCTGAGGGCAGAAACACAAAATAGACGAACACTGGCTTTCACGTCCATCACCCACTCTCTCACTGACCTTCCTGCCCATACTTTTGCATCAGTGGATGTGGAATGGGGTCTTGTTCTCCAGCCCTGTTTGGAATTTTGCCCCCAAACAAGGCAGGTTGGGCACAGGGGGAGGCACCACACTCACCACGGAGCCCCAGCCCGTGCCTGGTTCTGGCTGCCTCTCAGGAGAGGAATTTGGTTTTATAAACTGAGACCCCCACACACACACCCCTACCCCCAAGCCAGTCAACAAGGCAGGTTGGGCACAGGGGGAGGCACCACACTCACCACGGAGCCCCAGCCCGTGCCTGGTTCTGGCTGCCTCTCTGGGGAGGGATTTGGTTTTATAAACTGAGACCCCCACACACACACACCCCTACCCCCAAGCCAGTCCAGGATCTCTTTAAAAACAACAATCCTTATCTCCTAGACAGAGCCCAGGGGCTGAGGCCCAACTTCTACAAAAGAAGCAGCTAATGGGGAAAGATTAAATGTGAAATTCACAGGGAAAAAAACCAAACATAAGAATGAAATGCAAGGGGATGGGGAAATATATGGCTTGTATTGATAAACATACATGTCCATTAAATACCTGCAGCAGAGCCCTTAATCCTACAGATACTGGAACTGTCCTACTGGGAACAGCACCCCAGAAGCATATAGGAGGGCTGGTCTTAATGTCAAAATGACCCCCATCCCTGCTGTTTTGCCTCTAGTGCAATGTGTCACCCCCACTGTGTACACTCCTGGGCTACAGGCTAGGATTTCCACCCTTAGTTTTTTATAAGACCGTCCTAACAGGAAGAGATCTGTTCTATCATAGATTTCTCAAAATCATAGATAAAACCAAACAGGTGTGAAGGTCGGGCCCTGCTCTGTCAGGCAGGATCCCCTCTCAAATCAAATCTGGCTGTGCCATGCAGTGGCTTGGAAATCTAACCAGTTAAATTTGGAACTGGCACCTGGGGCTGTTCTAACACAGCAGGCAGGCCTGAAGCCTGGTCTGCCTGGTTTCCCGAAGCCTGATGTCAAGGCACCGCGGGCTGCTGTCTGAACTGTTCTCCTCTCTAGCGTTGAGAGACAGGATGCCCCACTGTTAGATGACTCTCCTGAGAGAAATATTCCTTCCTGACACTCCCCTCCCACTGGGATTCCACTTTTGATATGCCCCAGAGCTGTAGGTCCCTGAACTGGGATTCACTCAGCTGATCACCCTACAGATGCTGCTCAGGGGCAGCCTGGGGTCTGTGGCCAGTTATTCCCCATGTTAGAACTAGAAATGATGGCTCTACCCTCTGGGCACTAATTCACCTGAGTGGCCCTAACTTGACTATCTGTGACTGATCAATCAAAATCTGCCCTCCTCCATAGGCTTTCCAAAGATTCCACCATTATACTGAGCTAAACAAAGTTTGGAATCCTAGTACCTGACTTTCTGACCAACTCCAGAATGCTTGGATCTAAGAACAAAGCCCACCTTGGCCCTGCAGCCTGAGTCTACCTCCAGCCCTGTTTGGAATTCCTCCTGTCAGTGTCTCAGCACTTAACCAACGGGGTATCCCAGGGCAACATCTCCTACCTGGTTACACACTAGGCGAGAGGGCTGTCCTGGCGGTCACTGGCTGGCAGGGACACTACTCCGAGGAGCCCCATGGCCGCTATTTACAGAGGCCAGCTGCAGTCGTAATACTTGGAGGGAACCCCTGCTTGGGTTGTCAGACAGCCCAGCGAATCTGCAAGAGGCTGCACCCTTATCTGCAAGAGCTTCCTGCCTGAAACCATCAGCTGTCCTGCAGAGCCCTACAGAGTGTGGGAATTCGGCCCCTGCTGCCCGCCTGGGGTAACTGAAGATCGTTGCCAACTCCCACCCCAAACATTCTCCTGTTTTTCAGGTTTTCTTTTCTTTTTCAAATGGGTACACATGCTGAACATGGTAGTACATAGTTGCAATTCCAGCATTCTGGAGGCTGAAGCAGGATTGTTGTGACTTCAAGGCCTGCCTATACTACATAGTGAGACTTTGTCCTCCCAAAATTAATTTATTAATTAAGCAGGCATGTTGCACAAATCCAGAAGCATAAAGAGGGATTAAAAAAAAAAAAAGAACCTGTCAACATAACAGCCAAGATCTCACAGCAAAGGGCAGAAAGAGGGTGACCACTGCTAGAGGGACCCAACCTTGCCCATTCATGTATGCTGTTTTTTGTTGTTTTTTTTTACTGTGTATGAGTGTTTGCCTGCGCGTATGCAAGTGTGCCATATGCATGCAGTGCCCATGAAGGCCAGAAGAGGGCATTCGATCCCTAGAACTGGAGTTAGAGACAGTTGTGAACTGCCATGTGGGTGTTGGAATCCAAACCTAGGTCCTCTGCAAGAGCTGCCTGTGCTCTTAACCAGAGCCATCTCTCCAGATTCCATGTATGCTAAGTCAAAGCCTGTCTGCACCAGACCTACGTCTTTGTAAATGTCAGTTGGACAGGTTCAACTTCTGGGTGGTTTCAAGGTGAAGCCCTTCTTCAAGATACGTGAAACCATGATCAAGCCAGGTGTGGTGGTACACAACTACTATCCCAGCACTTGGGAGGCTGATTGTGAAGTCCAGACCAGCCCAGGCTACACAGCAAGTTATAGGTCAGCTTGGACTAAACAGTAAAAACCCTATCTTAAAAAAGATATAAAAAATGGGGTGTAGGGAGATAGTTCAGTTGGTAAACTGCTTGCCTTGTAAGTACAAGACCTGAGTTCAATCGCAAGAACCCACATTTAAAAAGCCAGGTTTGTGGCCAGGCATGGTAGCACATGCCTTTAATCCCAGCACTCAGGAGGCAGAGGCAGGCAGATCTCTGTGAGTTCAAGGCCAGCCTGGTCTACATAGGTAGTTCCAGGACAGCTGGGGCTACAGGGAGACCCTATCTCAAAAGACAAGAGATAGATAGATAGATAGATAGATAGATAGATAGATAGATGATAGATGATAGATAGATAGATAGATAGATAGATAGATAGATAGATAGATAGATAGCCTGGAGTGATGGTTCAGTGGTTAAGAGCACTGACTGGTCTTGCAGAGAACCCAAGGTTGGTTCCCAGCCACCCACATGACAGCTAACACCATTCGTTAACACCAGTTCCAGGGGATCCAACACTCTCTTCTGACCTCTGCAGGCACTGCACGACACAGGTACACTTACATACATTCAGGCAAAACATTCATAGACATAAAATAAAAATAATAAATAAAACAAAAATTAATAAATCTTAATTAAAAATAAGGGCTGGGGGCTGGAAAGATGGCCCAGCAGTTAAGAACACAGGTTATTCTTGCAAAAGACCCAGGTTCAAATCCCAGCATCCACATGGCAGCTATCAATTGTAACTCCAGTCTCAGGGGATCCCACAGCCTCTTCTCACCTCTGAGGGCACTGCACAACACGGGTGCACTTACCTACGTGCAGGCAATACACACATACACATAAAATAATTTTTTTTAAGTTTAAAATAAAAAAAAAAATAAGTAAGGGCCGGAGAGATGGCTTGGTGGTTAAGAGCACTTGCTGGTCTTGCAGAGGACCTAAGTTCAGTCCCCGGCACTCGTGGAAACTCACAACCACCTGTAACTCCAGTTTCAGAGAATTCAATGCTCTTCGGCTTCACAGGCACACATACACATAAATAAAAACACTTTTTAAATTAAAAAGTACCAACTAATAGCTTGCCTATGTTGAGTAGATTTTAAGTTATAACTTTTGTATTATTAATGCTAACTTCTGCATCACAAATTAGTGTCAAAAGTCACCAGGAAGCACTGGCCACTCCTCCCTGGAAGTAGACCACTACCCTCCTCTCCTCTGCCCTGACAGCACAGGGTCAGGGCAGAACAGCCTTTTGCCTGCAAACTCTGAGCCCACAGAATGACCCATTCCAGGCCAGAACAAGACCAGCCCCGCATTCAGTGAGTATTTACATTTCTTGGAGATAACTGCAAAGTTGAATGGCAGGACTCAGATGTAATCTGTTCTGCCTCTGCATGGGAAACATCCCTGGAGGTCACACCGGATGTGTTGCTGTATCTGGAACTCTTTGCCCAAAAGGACATTAACCACAGCTACCTCCCCAAAGTCCCTCTCACCAAAAGCATCTGAGTTCCCAGTGCACAGCAGCATTGGGGCCTCCCTCTTCCATGGTTCAGTGTTTGCTTGCTCCCCACCCCCAAGTCCTAAGCACCCTTCCCTCCTCCCAGTCACTCTGAGATATAGAGCACAATCCACAGTGTTGGCAGCCAAGGTATTTGAAAATCTGTTCATTCCAAGTAGTTAGAAGGTACTGAATACCTAACCATTTACCACATGGATTCAAAAACTCTTGTATCAAATTTTATATGTGAGAGGCAAGAGTCTGGAATCACCATTTACATGACAATGGGTGGGAAACAGTGCCCATGGTAGAGTATCCTCAGAGACCCAGGGGCCTGCCCAGAGGTTCCTACAAGGGCCAGCACCAGAGTCAAGCTTTCTGGGGGCCACCCCAGGGTTTCTGATCAACAGGTTTGGAGAGGGATCTGAGTGTGTTCATTTCCACCAAGTTCTCAAGGTTGATGTGGCGGGTACAGTGAGAGCCACTGCCTGCCAGATACCGCTTAATCTACCCATGTAGTCTCAGCAGCATACTAGGGCTATGGCTGGCATCACTCAGCATGCCAGTCCCTTTGCCAGAGTCCTGAGCCCTCAAGAGCTGGTCACATTAACCTCTGGTTGCAGCACAGCCCTGAGGTGGAATCAACAGACTAACCGAAGACCTGCTGGGTACAATGACTGTCCTGGCAGGAACAGCACCCAACCAGTGGCCACTCAGAAGAGCAGCATGAGCAAACCCAAGTGATTACAAAAGTATGCACCCAGTGTGGCTTCCTCGGGCTGCCTGAAAAATCAGGTTAAAACCAGACAGAGGGTAGCAGTAAAGCAGTCACACAAGGACTAGGGGTAGAGGGTTCTCAGTCCTCTCACTGTCCCTCTACATCATCTCCAGGGCAGTCCTCTGCATCCACTGAGGGAAGCAAGCAGTTCAGAGGCAAAGTTAGTAACCTCCTTTGGTTAACCTTCCAGTCTATATATGCTGGTCCACAAGGCTGCTTGCAATTAGGGCAAAATTATGTACAGCTGGCTGGGAGGTCAGGGGTGACAGATCAGGTGAGGGTCGCTTTCAAGTAGCCACAGCTGCTCTGATAAGGCCATGATGCTGATGCTGCCATTCTAGATTTATATGTATATATTTTGATAAAAATTACCCCCCAATCTCCTTCCCCCCCATTCCTTCTGAATCCCTTCTTCCCCCAAAGCCCCCTTCCAACTTTAATATATAATGTTAATTAGGGTTGCTTACATGAGAATGGGTGTGGGGGTAAGGGAGGTATTTACTGGAGCATGGACAAGTCTTACCCCAGCAACCATCAATTACCAATAGCTCCAGGAGGGATGGGACCTCAGGGGCCCCTCCCCCAGATTTCTTGATAGCAAATTTACCATGGAACTCTTCAGCTATTAATGAACTATCTTGTGTAGCCATCCAGTAAAGCTTCCAAGATCCCCACTGAGCAGTAATTACCAAACTTCAGTACTAACAGGCCTTCAGAACACAAATGCAGCTTCACAAGATTTTCTTAAATTGTTAGATATACCTGTGTTTCAGGCATGTCAACTCTTGGTTGTAGACAAGGCTTTGTGCAAGCTAATCCTGTGCTTTACCATCGCTACACATCTCTAGCCATAAAAAACTTAATGTGCCAGTGGGTAACTTTTTCTTAACTGGGGGATGGAAGGGCTGAAGAGATGGTCTCCTGCCTTAGCCTCCAGATTGTTGGGACTGCATGTACCCCACCCAACAGTCTGAGAGGACAATGTTGAGGCCTACTGCAGAGCCACAGAGCAATGTCAGGTGTGCTCAATGTGAGCTGGACAGGCTTGCAGTCACTACCCCAGCTGTGGGTCCCATGGCAAAGACTTAGGCTTTGGAAACAGGTGACAGGAGGCTCGGCATGGTGGCACACACCTTTAATCTGAACACTTGGGAGGCAGAGGCAGGTGATCTCTGTGAGTTCCAGGCCAGCCTGCTCTACATAGTGAGTTCCAGGACAGCTGGGGCTACAGGGAGACCCTGTCTCAAAAACAAACTTTACAAAAAAAAAAAAAAAAAAAAAAGATGACAGGAGACTATTAACTCTATGGAAGAAAGTGCACAAGGCAATTTTAAGGCTAAGCAATTGCAAGCTACTCAGCACAAAGCTAACTCCCCACAGGACCCCTGCTTCGCCGGCTGCACGGTTGTCCAGCATCTACAGTTGCCCGGGACTTTTTCTTTTCACTCCATGCCTTCATGTTGTACACTAGAAAGCCATTTCCATACTATTTAAAAACCTGTTAGTTGTATTCTTCATTTGACTTTCAAAGCCCATTTAATCTAATATAGACTTACTAACCCTAATGCATAACACTTGGGAAATAGGCAGAGTAGGGGACTGCAAGTCGGAGGACAGGCTGGGCAGTGGAGAGATGGCTCAGCAGTTAAGAGCACTGGCTGCTCTGACAGAGGATCTGGTTCAGTTCCCAGCACTAACACGGTGGCTAACTCCAGTTCCAAGGGATCTGACAACCTTTTCTGGCCTCAAAAGGCATTGCATGACACAGGTGTACTTAAGTATGTGCAGGCAAAACACTCATACACATAAAATAATTTTAAGATACAAAATGTAGACAATTACAAGAA